ATGGCAAACCATTCCAGTATCTTTGCCAAGAAAATTCCAAATGGGGTCACAAAGAGTGAGACACAACTGAAAACAACTGAACAACCACAAAAAAAAAAAAAGGCTTCGATAAAGTTCACTCTAAGAGAAGAATTGTATTCACATTGTAAGTATCGGTGTTTTCTACACCAATCCCAGGATAATGGAATCTTTCCAAACTTTCCCAAAGTTTTCCCTTCTGCAAATTGTCACAAGGAGGAATCATACATACAAGACTATATCCTGTTGATATCATATATCAATCATACAAGATAACTTTTAGTCATAAGATTCCTGATAACATTTGTTCAGAGGTAACTATGCAGAGCAATGGATGGAGTACTGAACTCCGAGTTAGGAAGACCCAAGTTCACATCCCCCCTCTGACAGTTAGATGACCAGGACAAGTCACTTAACTTCATCGTTTCCTTATCTGTAAAATGGGGATAATAACAAATACCTATCTCAAGGGTTGTGTGAGGATAAAGTGAGATAATATGCCAAGTACTTTGCAAACCTTAAAGCACTGGAGAAATGCTAGCTATTATTAGCCCTAAGAAAATAGTTAATCATTTTCTAACTGGTGTGCTAGATAGGCACTGTACAAAAATTGTTTTTATTGGTCTTTAGACCACTGGCTAAAAATGAGGATTTTCTGATAGTTTTCTGATCCCCAGCATCCTCCCCACAATCTAAATGCCATCTCTCCCTCCCCACGTCCAATCTGTGGCCAAGACGTGACAAATCTTGAATACACTCCCTTCTCTCCCCGGCCCTCGTCACCTCACACCTGGACTGCTGCAATAGCCTCCTGGTTGATCTCTCTGCATCAGTCCGTCCTCCACTCCTGAAGTTCAGCTCTGACCATGTCCCTTCCCCTATTCAGCAAATGCCATTGGCTCCTTGTGGTCCCCGGGGGCAAACAGAGAATCGTCTGTTTGATTTTTCAAGTCCTTTATAACGGGGCCCCTCCTCCACTCCAGCCTTCTTACATCTTACATGTATTCTTTGATCTAGTGTTACGGTAGAATAAAGCTACTGAGTAGTTACATCTGGACACCAATTTATTTAGTAATGCATGGAAGTTCCAGAAACAAACTGAGTCCAAGGTTCTCAACTGCTAAGGACATTGACTGTTGCTTTCTACATAGTTAATATATGATTCAGGCGGAGGGGAAAACAGGAAAAATAGGATGTAGGGATTGAGATAGCCTGGTTTCTTATTGGTGGAATGGATCCGGAGACACCGAGGTGAGAGAGAGAAGGGTAGTTTTGTGATATTCCCTAAATTGAGTGACAGTTGCAAGGGAGAATAATCTTGGCATGTCTCCAAAATCAGGTGACTTCTAAGAAGTTGAAACCTAACTTCACAAAATGGTGAACAAGGGAAAAATGGGGTCACTGATGCTATTTTTAGTGGAACACTAATGACCCTGGCCTCCCTGCTGTGCCTTCTACGGGAAGCTTTTCTTGATTCCTCCTTAAATGCTCACGCCTTCCTGCTATTGATTATCTTCATTTTGTCCTGTCTCTGTCTTGCTTGTACATAGCTGTTTTCATGGTGTCTCCCCAATTTGGATGTGAGCTCCTTAAGAACAGAGACTGTCTTTTTCCTTTCTTTGTATCCCCAGAACTTAGCATAGTGCCTAGCACGTAGTAGACTCTTAAATGCTTGTTGACTGACTTACTGACTGATCTATGTGGAATAAGCTTTTAGTGTTGGAAGAGGAGTATTCTGGTCACTCAGAGGCTGACGGCATAATGTCATAATGCAGTGGACAATTCCTCGAGGGCCTACCTGATATTCCTGAAAATGGCTGGTTATCTGGCTTGAGGAATGTTCAAGTTGAAAAGAATGGGAGTGACCAGACCTCTGATGATACAGAGGAAAAAACCTGTCTAAGATCACACAGATAATAGCAGAGCAAATCACATGTGGCATAGTAGGACTTTCAGAGCTTCTGTTTCTGCCTTTGACTCTCCAATCAATCAAGCCATTTGCATTAGCAGCCAATAGAATCATCTGTTGAAGTTTCCCAGTTAACTGGGCTCTGCACTGGTAAATATAATTCCCAATGCCTCCCTTCTCAGACACCTGTTTTTCTGGACCAGTATGGTAAGGAATGCAGATTCAGATGCAACAATTGCACAAGAAATTGGCTTTAGAACAGGGGTTCTGTGAATGTTTTTTTTAAAACCATGTCAATAACTGTGTACTGATCATAATTGGCTTCCTTTATAATAATAATAATAGCTAACATTTATATAGAGCTTATTATGTGCTAAGCACTTTATAATTATTATCTCATTTGATCCTCACAACAACCCTGGAAGGTAGGTGCTATTATTATCCTCATTTTACAGATAAGGAAACTGAGGCAAGCAGAGGTTAAGTGACTTGCACAGAATCACATAGCTAATAAGTGTCTGAGGCTGAATTTGAACTCAGAGCTTCCTGACTCCAGGCCCCAATGCTCCGTGCACTGTTTATTTTATACATCTAAAAACATTATTTGGAGCAGGGCACCATAGGCTTCCCCAGACTGACCAACTGACTGCCAGAAGGGTCAAGGACACAGACAAGGTAAAGAACTCCTGCTTTGAAACCATCAGAAAGGTTATATACTTAAATTCCATTCCCCCATTAAAATGTAAGCTCCTCTAGGGAAGGGACTTTCTTTATTGCATGTGTTTGTATTCTCAGCACTTAACACAGTGCCTGGCACATAGTAAGTGCTTAATAAATGCTTGTTGACTGAACTGGAAGAACTAATGATGCTGGGGGTTATAGTGGAAAATGACAGAGTTTTCTAACTCCCAGAATTCAGGGAGTTCAATCAGAGAACAAGATCCCAAGAGAGCTACGTAAGGACTTTTTGATGAAAGGAAAGGAGTTCTGATGTCAGCAGATGTGGAGTATCCCTCTGCCATATGTTTTCCTATCATGTGTGCTTCATACCATTACACTTTAAATCTGAGCCCACTATCCACATGGATGTTGTACGCATTTGTGAGAGAATGCATCTCGGACTTTTGGGGGAATATTCCGCACCAAATGGTCTTGCTATTTCACCTTAAAAAATGTTTTTGCTAAAAGCTAAATGATCTACTGGCTGATTATCGATGAAGAGCACACCAGTAGGGGCTCAGAAATTGCAATTATAAGTAGCCTACCACAGAGTTACTCCTAGAACCCAATCTAGCAGTTGTTTCTCTAGGAACCCACTCTGAATAAGAGCAAAGGTTGGAGACAGAGAGGAGTGACCCTACATAATTGTACCGATAGAAAGCTGTATAGGTTGCTGATTCAACTAAATATCATGATCTGGATATTAGATGTTTCCTAAATGGATGGGTAGCCCAAACATTTTATCAAGTGGTTATGGCTCCGCAATATTCTGGGACTTCATGCATCCACAAACAGGTCACTTGGAGCAGAGGTGTCAAACACAGGCCGCAGCCCATGACAGTCCTGAGAGCTACCCAAACCAAATTAAAATGTAATTGGGAAATATTGAACAAAATAAATCAAAATATAAGAAAACATAGGCAATATTACACTTTTAAACTAATTTGTGGCCTGCAGGAACCCTTATGCTCAGATTAGTGACACCCCCACACCCAGTTTCTATTTGAGTTTGACACCAGTGACCATCTCTAGATAATTCCTCTTCAGCTTGGATCCTGGGCTGAATCTATTCTAGGACAGAGAGGAGCAAGCATGTGTCTCTCTGTTTTATCCCTCACTTGATATTAATGACTTCAGGGTTGTCAAGGTTACCTTTTGTAATTTTGACATGTGCAAGACATACCTTGTTGGCATTTTGCTCTACCAAAGCAGATGTTCTTATGAGCATAGCGTGATCTTCAATGGATGATGATGATGATGATAACAACTGGTCTTTATACAGCACTTAAGGTTGCAAAGCACTTTATGTTCACTCATCTGATTTTCACAACAATCCTTGGAGGTAGGTGTGTTATTATCTACATTTTTACAATGAGGAAACTGAGAAATAACCAGGTTAAGTGACTTGCCAAGGGTCATACAGCTACTAGTGTCAGAGGCAAGATTTGAATTCATATCTTCCTGACTCCAAGTCCCATGCTGTCCCTACTGTGCCACCTAGGTACATTTTTCAGTCTACTGTGGAATATTGCTCGTCAGCACGTGCCTGTTCCTAGTTAATACCTTAATTAAGGATTCCCTTAATGAGAATGCAAATTATTGTAATGAAAGTAGGTAGATAAGAAAGTAGTCACAGGCTGGCAGTCACTTGTTCTTTCTGCCGCTTTTTCTTCTTGTTTTGGCTCATTTGGTCTGAGATCTCCCCCCCCTTTGTTATCTGCCCTGACTTCAGACGTCTTCGCCGCCTTCAATAGCGTGTTGCTATCCACACAGATTTCTTCTGTGTAGTCTTGGTCTAATCTAATTGTTTTTCCCCATCTTCATTTTCTTCGGGACCATTTCACTTTCCTCTAGAAGCACATCCAAGACTTTGTTATGTTAATGGAATGTTTTGATGCCATTAAGATACACAAGGAGGGAGAATATAAAGAAAACTGGTGAGATCTTTGTGAAACAATGCCAGTCAAAATCAATCCATCTATAAGCATTTATTAAGCACCTACTATGTGCCAGGCACTGTGAAAGCAGAACCAGAACACCCAACCCATTGAATGGACAAAGAAATCTGATGGAGATGAGCAGGACTGATTGCCAGATTCTATATTGAACTTCATTTGCAAAGCAAGCTTGTAATGTGCTTGATGTTAAATTTATAATCATTTTTTTTAAAAACAGAAGGTGAAATTGTCAAGGATAGAAGATTTGTCTTTGGTGCTGCCCCTTACCCTCCCCTCACCCCCAGCCATATTCTCCACCTTGTTGATGACTAGCCTCTCCTGGACTCACCTGCTGTTCTCTGGACCTAACCTTCTCTTCTCATTCGGCAAACCACATTTGTCCTACTTCCTCATAGGTATCAATAAACGAGAGTCCTCCATGCTAACCTTCCTGAAGGGCTACCACTTAGAAAAAGGATCAGCCTGGCTCTGCTTGGCCCCAGAAGGCAGAACTTGGAGCAACCAGTGGGTGCAAGTGGCAAGAGGGCAAATGCTGAGGGAAAGACACACTCCTCAACAATGAAGGCCACCCCAAAGTGGAAAGAGCTGCCACAGATCCAACCGTCATCTCTACACCGATGATTCTCAGCTTACTTATCCAGCCTTCACCTCCAGTCTTGAATCACCACCAGCTGCCTACTGGCATCCCGATGTCCTGTAGTCATCTTCAACTGTACATGCAGAAACTGAACTCACTTTCTTTCCCTGCAAATAGTGCCTCCTTCCTGACTTTCCCGTTACTTTCAAGAGAAACTCACCATCATCCTTCCAGTTACCCAAGCCCCAACCTAGAAATACTCCAAGATACCTTATTCAGTCTCCCTACCCAGATCTAATTTGTTGTCACACCCTGTCAGTTTGACTTGAGTGGCATCTCTCATATCCCCCCCCCATTCTCTCCTCTGCATTGCCACCCCCTTGCTGAAGGACTAGCACAATCACCTACTGATGGATCTGCCTGCCTTTCCCGGCTCTGGCCCATTCTCTGTTTAGCTGTTAAAGTGATCTTCCTAATGTACAGGTTGGCCTGTGGCATCCCTTTCCCACCCCCCAACTCCGAATTCAAGAAACTCTGCTGGCTCCCTTTGTCCTCCAGGGTGAAATAGAAAATCCTCTGTTTGGCTTTGAAAACCCTTCAGAACCTGGCTTTTTTCTGCCTTCTCAGGCTTCTTAGCCCTCACTCCACTGCCCTCCATGTACTGTCTCCCTGCCTGCGCATGGACTTTCCCCATGCTTGAGATGCTCTGCTTCCTCTCCTCAACAGCTTTATTCAAGAGTCACCTCAAATCCTACTTTCTGCAGGAGACCTTTCCAAGTACCCCATATGCTAATGCCTTCCCCTTGGAGATCGCCTTCCATCTACTGTCTGTTGTTTGCATGTTGTCTCCCATCTTAGACTGTGAGCTCCTTGAAGGCAGGGACTATGATTTCTGCCTAGCCTTTTATCCCCAGTGCTTAGCATGGTGCCTGGGACAAAAAGCTTATTTGACTGAGAGGAAGAGAGTTGTCTAAGGTTGACAGATACCTAGATGGATAATAAGGGGCCAAACTGGCATCAGACTCCAGGTCCCCTGACTCTAGCCAACACCCTTGGCACCCTACTACTCCACTAAAAACCAGATTTTAAAACAAAGGCAGCAGGAGATGGGGTGCTATCTTGTTCCACTCTGAGAATCAAGAGAGTGGAAGCAAGCCTCCTTTGATGCAGAAATCTTCCTGGCTCAACAGACTCCTCCGACTCCTCCTCCAGGGGCCTTGCCTGAAGGACCAGGACAGGTACCTACTGAGGCAGTGCACTGAGCCTGGAGTCTATTTGGCAACAACAGCCCTTCCTGCAGCACGGTAACCCCAAGCGTTCCCCAACCAGGGGACTGGGCCATACTACTACTGCCGCCTGCTGACCATTTGTGGCAACTTCATTCTGTAAATACTGTAAGCTGTTAAAAACCAACAGCGGCAGTAGCACCTGGCTTGAGGGCAGACAGCGTAGATCTCTTGGAAAAAATGGTAATGTTCTATAATGCTTCAACACTAGATACTAAGAGCTGGTCTTTCCTTAGAGGTCAAGGCAGTAAATGGGAGCATCCCTGGGACCGTTCTCCTAAAAGGCAAAACCATTTCACATCCATTTCCTTGTTTGAGATTTCAGTGAGGCCCATGGCAATTCAGTGACTTCCCCAGGGTTACACAAACTAGCAAATATCATAGGTAGTATTTGAACCCAGGGCAGGTAGGTGGGACAGTGGATAGAGCGCTGGGCTTGGAATCAGGAAGACTCATCTTCCTGAGTTCAAATCCAGATTCAGATACTTCCTAGCTCGACAAGTTATTTAACCTTGTTTGCCTCAGTTTCCTCATTTATAAAATGAGCTGGCAAAAGGAATGGTAAGCCACTCCAGTATCATCGTGGTTGTAAAAAGTTGGACATGATTAAATGAGAAGAACAACAAAATTCTCTTACCTGCCACTTTCTCTCTTCACAAAAGGTAAACACTACTGACAGTTGATAAATAAGGACTGCCATCAATCAGTAATCTAGAACTGAGATCTGTTCTACCTTGAATTAAGCTTAAAGTAGAAAGAATGCTGAATTTGGAGTCTGACAACCTGAGTTGGGATCAGGTCTGGATCTGGGGTCACTTCACTGTGTGACTTTGAGCAAAAGTTATTTCACTTTCCTGAGCCTCGGTTTCCTCAACTGTAAAATGAGAAACAGACTACATGACCTCTGAGGCCCAGTTTCATCATCTGCAAAATGGGGGTGATAATAGTTAGTATTTATGTAGAACTTCAAGGCTTGCAAAGCACTTTATGTAGGAAAAATATGTAACCCAGAGATTCCAGTCCAAGGCCGGTACCCGCAAAGATGTCACTGAGAAAAAGAAAGATTCCATATACACAAAATATTTGTGGCAGCACTTTTTGTGGTAGCAAAGAACTGGAAGCAAGGTAGATCCCCATTGATTAGGGAATGGCTGAACAAATTGTGGTACAGCAATGTAACGGAACCCAGATAATAAGACTCAAGGCCTCAGATATGTCAAAAACACTAAATTAATAAAAAAATTTTTTTAAAAAAAGAGACAGAAGAGATCCTAAGACAGGGGGATGAATTTGACCTCATGTCACAGTTATCATTGAGACTTGATTAGATTGAGCCCCATGACTGGCATATGGAAGGCTCTAGAAGGATAGGTCTTATTTTTGAAAACCAGAATAGGTTAAAAAGTACACGCAAAGATGTGCTTGTGGCAGGAAGTGGGAAGGGGAGGGGGAAAGAACACAGTGTCAAGCAGATATAGTCATACGAGGAAATGTCGGAAGCGTGGGAGTGTGGCAAAGAGCATTTGAATGAAAATGTAAGGTGCTATTGTCATCGAGATGTACCTAATGGGAAAGAAGAAATCAATGAGTTCTGCAAACATATACCAGCCCGGGCACAAAAGCCTGCTCCTTCCTTTTAACATCCTCCCTCCCTCAGTACTCAATGTCCTTCCAGCTGCTGCTTCTGGGCTCAGAGCCTCCCACCATGGCCTGCCCTCCCTAAGGAATTCTTTCTGAGTGTAGTAAGACATCCATGAAAAGGGAAAGCCTGAGTTTGACATTCAAGATAAGAAACCATATGGTCAAAGTATATGATCTTCCTGAAAGAAGTCATCCTGGTTCTCAAGAATACAAACTTTTAACATAACAATGAAGTGCACACGAGAAAATAAGGTGCTTCCTCCTATCCCAAGGACCCCTAAAACCGCACATGGAATTTCCTGTTGGCAGAGCAAGCAAAGCACCATCTACTCCTCCTCAGCTTCTAACAGCTATTTTGAAATGAACTAAATAGGAGAAAACCAAGTGAAAAAAATATAAAACAATCCTGAGTCGTTAATGTTATGTCAAATGGTCATTCATGATCAAGAGCCCTCTTCTGAAAGCTGGACATGTATGTGCTTTTTAGAGACTCTAAATCCTATGGCTCACAGTTACATAATGTAAAGTAGCACTTTCCTCCAGCACCCATGAGTGAGGGATGGTGCAAATACTATCCCCACTTCACAGGTAAGCAAACTGAGGCTCAGAAAAGGTCAAGTGATGTACTGAAGTATCTACAATTAGGAAATGTCATAGCCAGAATTCAAACCCAGTTCTCCTGACTCCAAATCAAAGGGCATTTATTAAACACTTACTATATGCCCAGGCATTGAGCTAAGTGCTGGGGATACAAAGAAAACCCAAAGACAGTCCTTATTCTCAAGGAACTCCCAGTCTAATAGGGGAAACAAGATGGAAATAACTGTACAAGCAAGCTCTAGACAAGATGAATTGGAAACGATCAGCAGCGTTAAGGATTACTACAGGCTAGTAGGACTGGAAGACACTGGAGCAAGACGAGCCTCGGGCCAATAGCTTTTACTCCTGGAAGCACAGCACCTAAATTAGCGAAAGAAAGGAACTAGTTTGAGGCGGCCTGGTGGCTCAGCAGACCTGAAATTAGATGGACTGAGTTCAATGCTGGCCTCTCAAACGTTTGACGATTACTAGCTGGGTGACCCTGGATAGTCATTTAACCCCAACTGCCTCACAAAAAAAAAAAAGGAACTAGTTCCACGGGTGTTTCCTTTGTGACTTGGCTCACCCACTTCCTTAATGTGGACTAAAACGTCAGAGAAATTTTTAACAACTCAAACTAGCTTGGTTTGTTTGGCCTTTGGTGGGGGACAAGTAGGTGGTAGATAACTTTCATTTCAAAATAACCATTTGTTGAGCATCGAGGGCCAGTTTTTCAGAAGCAGAGACATGACAAAGTAGAGCCTTATTTATTAAAAGTTAAGAGAAGCGGTGAGGTCTAGGAAAAGGAGATCTGGGATAGGAGGCAGGGGACCTAAGTTCTAGTCCCAGTTCATCTACTACACAGCTGTGGGAATTTAGGCAGTCTTTCCCCTTCTGTCAAATGAAAAGATTGAACTAGATGGCTTCTGTAGAATTTGAGGACATGGGTTTCTCCCTGGCCTTTCTTGGAGATCTGTCTCGATTTTTCATCATAGGTCCTTCAGAGTTGTCTTGGATTATTATATTGCTGAGAAGAGCTAAGTCATTCACAGCTGGTCATCTTACAATATTGCTGTTACTTTTTACAGCTGGTACTTTGTACAGGTCACTTTGCATCAGCTTCTGTAAGTCCTGGTTTTTCTGAGAGCATCTTGCTCTATCATTTCTTATAGCACAATAATATTCCGCCACAATCACATAGCACAATTTGTTCAGCCATTCCCCAATGGATGGGCATCCCCTCAATTTCCAGTTCTTTGCCACCAGAGAAGAGCTGCTATAAATATTTTTGTGCATATATGTCCTTTTTCCTTTTTTTATCTCTTTTTGGATATAGACCTAGTAGTGGTATTGCTGGATCAAAGGGTATATACAGTGTTTTGTAACCCTTTGATCATAGTTCCAAATTGCTCTACAGAATGGTTGAATAAGGTTACAATTCCATTCAGTGCATTAGTGTCTTGTTTTTCCCACATCCCCTCCAACATTTGTAATTTTCCTTTTCTATCCTATTAGCCAATCTAATGGGTATGAGGTAGTACCTCAGAATTGTTTTAATGTGCATTTCTCCAATCAATAGTGAGTTAGAGCATTTTGTCATATGTCTATAGATAGCTTTGATTACTTCATCTGAAAATTGTTCATATCTTTTGATCATTTATCAATGAGGCAATGGTTTTTATTTTTATTTTTATAAATTTGACTCATACTTTTTAAAAAACTCTTTATTTTTCTTGAGTTTTTTTATCTATGTGTTTTCTTTCACATGACTAATATGGAAATATGCTTTGTGTGACTACACATGTATAACCTATATCAAATTGCTTGCCTCCCTCAATGAGGGAGGAAGGGAGAGAATTTAGAACTCTTGAGAATTTGGAGAGTAGTTTTAAAAATGAATGTTAAAAATTGTTTTTACATGTAATTGGAGAAAAATAAAATACTAAATGAAAAAAAGAACCTAGCTATCATATTTCAGAAAATAGTGAATGAAAATCACCCACATGTATTAGAACTAGGGGGTGAAAATAGAAACAACCCACCAGTCGCCTACTGAAAGAAACCCCAAAATGAAAACCCCCAGGAATATCATAGCTGAAATCCAGAGCTTCCAAGTCAAAGGAAAGAATACTGCAATGAGCCAGAAACAAAGGATCCATATTCAGGATCCCAAGACATTTGGTAGTGTGAGAGATGATCTCTCAGAAGAGAAGCCTCCTCAGGGGTCAGGGGTTCTTGTTCATAGTTCTGGATTGTTGCTTTCAAAACCCTCCTCCCAGGAGACCCCGGGTTTTTTTAAAGGCTTAGAAGAAAAAATAGCCCTGCCCCCAACCTGAACTGCTTGCCCTTTGAAAAGCTTGCCGCCTTTTTTTGTCTCTGGGATAAGGGGGAAGGGGATTAGGGAGGGGAAATTGCAGTAAATTTCGGTTTCCTAGGAATTACCTAACTCATGGGAATTCAGCCCTAAACCCCCTCTTGAACACCACACCACTGCTGCGTCAGCATTTAGGTTTACTAAATAAGGACATGTATGTTTGGATTGGCTATACCCTGTTTCCTTGTTCTTTGTCTTTGAATTTTCGGCCTAAGAACGTAAGCCCACCTCCGCAGCCAATGGGAATAAGGGATGGTAGTGGGTGGAGGTTTGTTTGCGTTAGGGTGTATAATATCATTTCACTTTCTGTGCCTTGCCTCTCTCCTCCTGGAAGTATGGGGTGGGGGGGGGAGCAGATGCCCCTTCTCGAGAGATTGTAATAAAAAGTAACCTTTGCTTCCACCTTGAGAAGTCTCTGAGTTTAATTGATTTAGAGTAGCTGTCCCACACAGTAGCTACCTCTATAAAAGAGTAGAGAATATGATATTCCAAAAGACAAAAGATTTTGGCCTACAACTAAAAATAACTTCCCCAGTAAAACTGAGTACAATCCTACATGGGGAAAAAAGTATCTTTAATCAAATAGAGAATTTCTAAGTATTTCTGATGAAAAGGCCAAAGTTAAGTCAAAACTTTGAAATACAAACACAAGAATCAGGAGAAAGATAAGAGTGAGCCATCTGAAAGAACTATGAAAGGATGAAGTGTTTACAGTAATAATAGAGGAATGGGGGGGGTGGAATATCCCTTTACAGCCCTAATTTATCAGAAGTCATAAAGAAAGTTAAATAAGGGTGGACCTGAGAGTGGTTTTGTTATGTTT